GGGAGCCGTCTGCTGAGTCCGGGGCGCCGAGGGAGCAGGCGGCCCCGGGCTCTGCGGAGGAAGGGCGGCCTTGTGGAGGAGGCCACGCAGAAGTAACGAAACGGCCTCACCGGGGCCGGGGGCCTCGGGGCCGGGGCCGGGTCTGGGCGAGTTCCCGGCGCGCCGCGGGAGTGGCTCCCCGCACGGACGGCGGCTTGAGCGTCCAAGGTGACGTGGGCAAGCGGGGCGGTCGGCCGAGGTGACGCTGGGCTCGGGAAGAGGTCGCGGGGTCCTTGGGTCCTTTCGTAGAGGTTCCTGTAACCTGGTGCTGACCGCCAGCCAGGCTAAGTCGTGGAGGTAGTGAGACAGGCCGGCTGCCTGCATCTACGTATTGGACTTCTTGGGGGAGTAAAAGGAATCCTGTATAGTTTGGTGGCTCTTCGCCCCGTCAGATGACCCTCCCCAGTTATTGCTGTAGTACTGTACAATAGTACAGTAATTAACGTTTATGAAAAGCCTAAATAGTCACAAAGGAATTAATTCCTAATGCTGTTAGGTAGCCAAAGGTTATATGCCTTTTGGAAACTTGTCCAATTGATTTTTTGGGGAGACACTTACCAGAACAGTACATTAGAAAAATCTGACTGACAGGTTTTGAAACACTGTTTTTTGCCTATTTTCTTCTTTTATCGATTATTTGCAAAAACTGACATAAAAATAATATATACGACGCCAAGTAGCATAATAAGAGATTCATGACACTGTAGATTGTACCAGTATTGGAGTTAAATACAATGTAGTCGTTTTGAAGTACCAGAAGTTGTTTACATAAAATGTATTGCTCTGAGTTTGAATTGGAGCTTAATAAAGTATAGTTTTGACTAGTCTTGAGGTCTAAAATTTTCTCCCCACTGTTTTTAGTCCCATTAAAGCAAACTTAGTGATTTCTTGTTTATTTTATTTATTGACAAATAAAAATTGTATGTACTTGTATACAACATGTTTTGAAATGTGTATACATTGTGAAATGGCTAAATCGAGTTAATTAACATATGCACTGCCTCAGGTACTTACCTTTTTTTGTGGTGAGACACAAAATATACTCTCAGCAATTTTAAAGTATGCAATATATTGTTACTAAGTATAGTCACCATGTTGTACAATAGGTACAAAACTTAAATTTTGTATCCTTTGACCAACGTCTCTCCTACCACACCCTCCTTTCCCCAGTCTCCCAGCTCCTGGTAACCAGCTTCTGTTCTCAGCTTCTATGATTTCCATTTTTTTAGATTCCTCGTGTGAGTTAGATCATGCAGTATTGTAAAAGGGTACATCAAAAATTCTGTGGAAAAATAGAATTAAAAGATAATACAATCTTTTAATTAACTTTTTGAAGTACGCTTGTATTTGTATCTCTGTACCTGGCTTATTTTACTTAACATAATGCCCTCCACATTTATGATCTTAGTGATTTCTTAGTCATTGTTATCTATTTGTCTGAAGTTTTGATGACTTTTTTTATTTGTTTAAGTCATCTGGTTAAGTTGTAGTAGGGAAAATTGAGGCCAGGAGTTGCTTTTTCTTTTGCCTTCTAGAGCAATGATTCTAAACTCTTTGGTCTTTGGACCCTCTTTATACTCTTAAAAATGGTCAAGGATCCCAAAGAACTTTGGGAAACACTTTGAGTTAGACCTATCAATAATTTGCAAATCTCTTTAATGTCTGGCTAAATAGAAGACAGCTGAATTTTCATAGTTGCTTCTGCATTCAGTTTGTTGGTGCTATGTTTTGGTTGAAGTATTTGAAGAAAATACAGCCTCTGTACTTTTTAGATCATTGAGGGTGTTCTGCTTAATATTATAACAAAGCTCAACAAGTAAAAGTCTTATACCATATCAATAAATTTTTGGTATCCTGTTACATTAAAATCCATTGGTCTGTTTTGCACTTTGAATGGATCTTTTACTTGTAGCATCATACATTGGTTATTTGGAAGGTATTCATTCCCTGAGTTTGCAGAGCATTATGTTTCTTCTTGGAAATATTGGGAAGTTCATCTTGCAACTTAATCACACAAGTGCTTTTCCTTAAGGCGGCAACCATTGTATTTCCATATGCATCAGAAGTACCTTATGAATACTTCCGTTTTGTCACACAGAATATTAAAAAGATGTGTACTCAAGGGTCAAGATTTAATTAAGTTAATAATTTATTGTTTCACCAAGGACTACAAGTCAAACTGGTTTTTTTTTTTTTTTCCTTCCCCTGCCAATCTGTGGTAATGAGGAATACAGTGACTGGTACTACAAATTGGTGTCGGTGCCTTGATTCATAACAAAGAGCTAGCAGTTTTACCCAGCACTGCTTTTGCTTCCTTATGTAAATGTCAACACAGTGAAAAGAACAAATAACATGTTAGTATTATAATTAAAGTATTTTTGACTTCATAGACCCTCTGAAAGGCTCTCAGGAACCTCCAAGGGACTATGCTTTAAGAACCACCGTTTTGGTGTTAATCCACTTTAGGAACAGGTAGGGGTTGTCATAAATAGTATTACCTAAGAAAGATGTGAGCTGTAGCTATGTTGCTTTGGTATTTTAAGTTTTGATTTGACTCCAAACTTTTAAAAACTATGTAGGTCTAATTAAGGTAAAATTTTAAGATAAAGAGATCTAAGTAATCTTATGTTTTAAGGTTATCCATAAAGATGCAGAATTATTGTGAACTAACAAATCCTTTCTTGTCATTAATGCCAAAAATTCCTTTACATTTTTGCATTCAGTTCTCACAACCCCTCTGTGGGTTTTATTTCTTAATGTTATTTTTGTTTAATTGGTTAATTGAGGTTAGCAGACTAAGTGACCCACCCCACCACAAATCACACACTGAAAAGATAGACCCATGCTTTGATCTGAGACTGAAGTGCTTATTACAGTACTTCTTGCCACCAGCCATTGAAATATGGCATAACATAAGGTTCTGGTGTTAGATACAATTAGGTTGAAAGCCCTGCTCCACTTACTTTGTGTTACCTATCCTCTTAATTCTTAGTGTTCTCATAAGTAAAAACGTTCACTTTACAGAATTATGGGTATTAAATGAAATAAATCATGTAAAATAGATTTTAATATGCTTAGCAAATAGTAAGTGTATATATATTAAATATTTTTTCTTTTTCTACTTATTCACTACCACTATTTTTCTTTTCCAGTTATTACTTCAATTTTTGTCGCTTTATTTTTTTCTATAATGTTCACATCATTCTTTTCGTTGCATCCTTTTGGAAATATTTTATTAGTTACGTAGATAGTACAAGTAGGGAAAGTCTTTGTACACTTATCAGAATACTCAATTGTTTCAGAAAGACCAGATGTTGAAGAAAGATCTCTATGTCTACTTTAAATAAGTGGAGTAGGATTAAAACACTATATTATACATATACCATGTGTTGTTCAGAATTTCAGTTATTCCAGTGTATTGACTCTTTCTTGTACTAAAACAAATTTTCGATTAGATTCCAGAACAGTTGATCTTCCAACAGATGAAGAGGATGGAACACATCACTCCTCAGAAAGTAAGGATGATCAGAGTTCATCTTCTGATAGCTCTAACTCTCTGGAAGAAAAGGAATTTTCATCAATAGGTTGGTAATTTTTGTAATTTTGGTTAAGAATTCTATTTCTAACATTAATATTTTCTATATCAGTGATTCTTACTGTTGATAACACAACAAACTCTAGTGAAATATGGGAAAAGTAGGTCATTACTGATGATTGCCAAAGTGCTGAAATTGACTGGTCATTTCAATTACATAACATGCCCAAGGTCAGACAGCTTGTAAGAGGCAGAGCTAGGATTCAAACTCAGGCTGTTTACTCCAGAGCCTATGTTCTTAACCACTGTGCTGTACTGGGTGATCCATGCCAATGCCTGAAGGATGGTAAGAATTTGTCAGTGAGGATGTTTCAGTTACAGGGTGTAACATCTCTAAAACTCTAGGGATGATAACATAGTATGTGCAGGGAACTAAAAATAGTTTTGTTTGGCTGAAAATGGTTGGTTGGGAATTTAAAAAGAAGAAAGAAAGCAGGAGGAACAAGTTGGAGTCAGATTATGCAGAGCTTGGGGAGCCATGGAAAATTTTTTACAAATAGATAACATGACTATTTTTGTGTTTTAGAAAGATCCGTATAGTTCACGGGTCAGCACATTACCAATTGTGGGCCAAATCGGACCCACCACCTGTTTTTGTAAATAAAGTTTTATTAAAACACAGTTATACTCTTTCAGTTACTTATTATCTGTGGCTGCTTTTGCACTTGAAAGCAGTTGAAACTTCTTATGACCTAATGAGGCCTTTTGACTGCAAAGTCAAAAATAGTTATCTGGCTCTTTACTCTAGCTCAAGGATTTATAACTTGTTTTGTGCTGTGGACTCCTTTTTCAGCCTAGTGAAGCCTAAGACTCCTGAGAAAAGTAATAGAGTAAAATAGATAGCTTTATAAAGGAAACAAATTATATTGAAATATTTTTGTTAAAATATAGTTTGAAAGATTTATAGTAATAAGTGCTTCTTTATTAACCCATAAAATAACAACAACCATTAGCTCTATAGTTTTTTTAATCCAAGTTCACAAAGTACAGAATACTGAGTGATAAAGCCAATATTAAGAATTGAAGCCTGTAAACAATTGAAGCCTTGTCTAGATTCTAGATACAGTGCTGTTCATTAGAATTTTCTGTGGTAATGGAAAAATTCTATATATTCACTGTCCAGTACAGTAGTCACTAGTTATATGTAGCTATTCAGCTCTTAAAATATGGCCAGTGCAACTGAGGAATTGGATTTTTAATTCAATTAAATTTAAATAGTTACATATGGCTAGCAGCTACTAACAGTATGAGGCAGTGATACAGTAAAGTGTTGGCAGCACTACCCTCCTAAGGAGGAGGGCAGTGGTTGGAAACGTGTGGGATAGTTTTTGTAATGATTATAGGGATTGAGGTGTTACTCCATGTAGTACCTCAGAGGCAAGAGATGATAAATGTCCTGCAGAGGGTGGGACAGCTCAGCATAGTAAAGAATTGTCTCTCCCCCAAATGCCCCATTGAGAAACACTGATTCAAAGCTGTGAAGTTGTCCTGTGAGAAACACTTGCAAGTGCAAAGGATGTACTGGCTAGAGAAGGAAAGGTGCAGGAATGTGATAATTTTAAGGACTAGTGTGTGGGAGGAGTGCATTTATTTTGTGTTCAGATGATGGAACTATTAGAGTGATACAGTAATATCTGCCCTGAAATGTTCCCTGTGGCAGAGACTCTGGTTGCCAATGGGAAATGATAGTTGACCTCTCTGCCTTAGATGATTTTGTATCAGATTGGATGATATGTGAGGGTACTTCAAAAAGTTTGCAGAAAGATTTGTATTGTCTTCTAATTCTATTTTTCCACAAACTTTTTGAAGTTCTCTCATGTGAAAATTATTTATGAATTATAGATCTGTAAAAACATGATGTTTCTATTATAAAACAATTTGCTAACTTTATTCATTCATCCCATGTCTGTCAAGCATCTCTGTGTGTGAACCCTTGAGCTAGGTGTTGGATATGGAAAAACAGGACATATGGAATACTCTTCTCTTCCATGATTTTTTACTTTATTGTACTTTGAGGGAGAATTAGCTTTATGTAGCACTAGTATCTACCTAGTTAATCCCATTGCTTGTGACTTGTTAATTAAACCCTACCAAGTCATTTACAGGTGAATCACTTCCAACTCAAATATTTCTGTTTCCATGTTTATAGACTTGAGTATTTGAAACTAAATGTATCATCTTAACCCTAGCTACACATTAAAATTTCCCGTGGGACTATGAAAACATACTACTGCTCAGCTCTACCTCAGATCAACCAAATCTGAATTTGAGGGATGGGGGCCTGGGTACCAGTAGTTTATCATGCTTCCCAGGTGATTCTGATGTATAGCCAAGGCTGCAAATTGCTAATCTGCTGTGATGGTTTTGAATCTTAATACTACTTTAGATTATGTTAGCTGTACCTCCCAGCTTTAAACATGTCTTCTTATCTTCATTCACATCACAGTAAAATCATTAAACCAGGGAAGACAAAGTACAGAGCTTTCTGGCAGTTTCTACTTAGCTTCTTAATCAATATTTTATTTTTTTAGTGGTTATTCAACCAGTTAAGAATTCAGTGAACTATATGATTTACCCCACATATTTTAATATTCTCCATAAGGAAGTATCCAACTGTTAAATGCTTCAGGAGGATGAAGAGACACCTGACTTTTATCTTTTTACTGATATCAATCTATAAATAAGTACTAGTCTATGAAAAAATTAAATCACTTGATTTTATATTACTTATTCTTGATGAATGTTTATTGGTTTCTAGTGATCACCATTTATTACTTCATGATTAACTCAGGCACTTTTTATTTTCCCTAGGACTGATGTCAAGCATATTGATCTATAATTTCTGAAATCTACGTCTCCATTGTTTGTTTGAAACATTGGAGCGTTTGCACATCTCCGGGCATATGAAATGGTTTCTATTTATTTCCCAAAGAATTTGGACCAATTTGTAGGAAATGTTCGAAAATTTTACTTGAGTCCCAGTGGCTTGACCTCTTTTTAATATTTTGAAGTCCTTAAAATAGTGAGTTTCTCTTTCCATTTTGTTTACTGTATTTTTTTAAGAAACCATTTTTTCCAGACTAAAGATAAATTTCAGCATAGATCATGCATGAAGAAACTTGTTTTGAATTAGAAGAGTTCATATTAATGGGATTTGTACTGTACAAAATAAAGAAAAAAATAAAATAGGGCTCTGTTAAAAGTTGTCACCTAAATATTTTTCACTTGGTAAATGAACCTAGTTATTTCCTTCATACTTCTAAATTGTCACATTTATTCAAATGGCATTCATCTCAGGACCTCAGAAGCTGAGTTGGCTTTGCGCTGGTCATAGCCTGTTTCTCACTCCCTATATGTATGTGTGGGTGTCCACAGGGTAGGGGTGTGTCATAGTGTAGTACTTCTCTTACGTGGTAAGTCACACTGGTTTGTCATTGATCCTTTTAACTTCTGCAGTTCTCACTGACTGAGGAACTTCACGCTCAGCCCTCTCCACATCCCCACCCTGACAATCTCAGAGCTCCCGGAGGTGAGCAATAGCTCGCCCTCAACAAACAGTCGGCAGACGTCTGATGAGTTTGATAGTTAAAAGATAAAATGGAGTGGTTTCAGTGTGTTTTCTGATACTTCTAGATTTGGTTCATTTTTCTAAATTGTATTTAATCTCCGTTAAATTATTTTTCTTCCTTTACTGATGTAGATTTTGAGCCATTTATTAAAGTCACATGCATGTGTCAAAATAGTGAAAAATTTAGGAAAATGTTGCCTTTTTCCTTTGTTTAAATGTGAGATATATGTATTTCTATTGGCATTTGGTATCCAGTATCCTCTTCATTATTTCTTTCAGTTAAGATCCCTGATGCAGCTTTTATTCAGGCAGCCCGCAGAAAACGGGAATTGGCCAGGGCCCTAGATGACTATATTCCTTTGGATGTGAAACATGCCTCTGGTATGAAGAGAAACAGTGATGAAGATCCTGAGAGTGAACCTGATGACCATGAAAAGAGAATACCATTTACCCGAAAGCCTCAAGCACTTAAACAAAGAATGGCTGAAGAAACAAGTACATATTTAATTTGTTTACCAAAATATGAAGATTAGGCATTTTTTATTACAATATAATATTATGATATAATCTCCATAAAAATGCGATGTAGTGTAGAGTGTTGATGTTCTCTTTTATTTAGTATCATATTGGTTCTTGACACTATGCCTCTAAAAGATGTATCTTTATCAAAATATTAGTATCAAAGAGTATGTGTAATAATATTTACTAATGCCTGACTTCCACTAGATCTTTTTTGACAGGTTAAAAAAATTGTGCAATTAAAAAAATTGTGCAATGTCTTATTTTTGAAATGTTGAAAACTATCATTGTCACCTTTATAAAGCTGTTTTTTTGTTAGGTTTTTTTTTATTTTGTTTTAACTTGAAAATGTCTAGAGATTTTAGGCATCATGTATTAAACCCTTCCCTGCTATAATAAAAATTTCTTTTGCCAATCAATAGTACTTGTCTCAAAGAACTATTTCACATTTCTTATTTAAGGTTTTTTTTTATTTTGTTTTAACTTGAAAATGTCTAGAGATTTTAGGCATCATGTATTAAACCCTTCCCTGCTATAATAAAAAATTTCTTTTGCCAATCAATAGTACTTGTCTCAAAGAACTATTTCACATTTCTTATTTATAATATATGAGTTTTACCCAGATTTTTGTTACTTCAAATAATATTTTTTTCAGAGTGAGACTTTGGTTTCTTATAAACCAGAAATTATTTTTAAATGTTTGGATTCTCTAGTAGGAATTGAGAAATCTTTGATAAGAAAACCAAACATTTCATTCTTCCTCAGTTTTTTCTGTATGTGGAGCTATAGTGTTTTGAGTGGGACACTTTGTTAATAAGAGCACAGGTTCTGGAGTCAGATGTCTGGATTCCAGTTCTAGCTTCAAAATAGTCCTAAGACAAGTTACTTAACCTCCCAGTATCTGAGTTTCATCATTTGTGAAGTGAGGGCAATAATAGTGCCTTCTTTCCAGAATTATGGTAAAGAATAAATAATGTGTGAAGTGCTGCTAAGCCTGTGTGTAATACGCCCCCCAGAAATGTTGGCTGCTGCAATTGGAATGGAAAAACATTGAATATTTATATGTGAACTTTTTTTTTCTAGCAAGCAGACATGAAGATGTAAGTGAAGAAAGTCAGGAAGATGAAAATCAAGATATTTGGGAACAGCAACAGATGAAGAAAGCACTTAAAATCGTAGAGGTAATAATTTCCTATACCGTGTGTACTATATTCTTGTGGCTGCTGTAACAAATTACCACAGATTTGGTGACTTAAAACAATAGATATTTATTCTTTCATAGCGTGGAGGCCAGAAATCTGAAATCAAGGTGTTGGCAGGGCTATGCTTCCTCTGAGGGCCCTAGGGAAGAATCCTTCCTTGTTTTTTCCAACTTCTGCTAGCCCCAGGTGTTCCTTGGCTTGTGATGGCATAACTTCTATCTCTACCTCTGTCTTTACATGGCAGTCTTTTCTGTGTCTCCACTCTTGTGTATTTCTTATAAGGGCACTTGTCATTGGATTTACAACCCACCCAGAAAAATCTAAGATGATCCCATCTCGAGATATTTGACTTAATTACAACTACAAGGACACTTTTCCCAAATAAGTTCATATTCACATGTTTCAGGGGTTAAGACATGGATGTATCTTTTGGGAGGCCACCATTCAACCCACTACACTGTGTATTATGTCCTTTTTTCACTAGATTATAAACACCTTCCACTTGAGGGGACTATATCTTCTTTGTCTTTAATTTTACAGTAACTGACAGTATTATCTGAAGCAGGTGTTTAAAAGTAAAGTTTAGGCAAATAGGTTTAAAACAAAACTAAAACAAAATTAAATATAGTAGTCCCCCCTTATCTGTGGTGGATATATTCCAAGACCCCCAGTGAGTGTCTGAAACTGCAGATAGTACCAAACCCTATATATACTATGTTTCTTGATATACATGCATACCAGTGATAAAGTTTAATTTATAAATTAGGCACAGTAAGAGATTAGCAATAACTCATAATAAAATAAGACAATTATAACAGTATGCTAGTATCACTACTCTTGCATTTTGTGGCCATTATTAAGTAAAATGAGGGTTACTTAAACAAAAACACTGCAGTACCAAGACAGTTGATTGGATAACCATGATAGCTACTAAGTGACTAATGGGTGGGGAGCATGTACAGCGTGGGTATGGTGCACAAAGGGATGATGCACATCCTGGGTGAGATGGACCCGTACAGCACAAGATTTCATCATGTTACACAGAACAGCACATGATTTAAAACTTATCAATTGTTTATTTCTGGAATTTTTCATTAAATATTTTAGGGTGTGGTTAATCATGAGTAACTGAAACCATGGAAATGAAACTTCAGATAAGGGGGACTGTTGTACTTGGTAAAAGTCCTGAATTTGGGTTCTGGGTCTGCTGCTAGAATATAAACTCCATGAAGTCAAGAGTTGTTAACAGTTTTGTTCAATGCTGTATCCAACAGTGCCTAATATTGTGGGTGCTCAATAAACATTTGCATAACTTTGACCAATTGTTTAATTTCTCTAAGTTTTAGTTTTCTCATCAATAAAATGAGAATGATGGTAATATTACATACCTGAATAGGTCGATATAAATCTTGAATTTATAGTAAGTCAAAGCGATTATGAACTGTAAATTACCATGCAAGCATAAGGTTTTATATTTGATTCTTTTTATCAAGAATGCTTTGAAAGATAATTATTTGTTCTTTTAAATGAGAAAGTATTATAAGATTTCCATATTATTGCAGCTGAAAGGCTAAGTAAAGGTAAGCCTGTGGTTATAATTTAGGAGTCTTTGACCAGAGAAATGGTGTAGAAGACTGTTTTTATGACCGTAACAGGCTTAGGGGTTTTTTTTCCTCCCCTTTTTAGTAAAATCAGTGTAGCAACAGAATTTAAAAAAAAAATACCACAGGTCTTACTCTAACTGCTCAATTGCATAATTCTTTTATATGTGATGTGCTTTTTTTTTTTTTAAGCCTAATTGCAATCATAGGGTACATCAGAGCTTCCCAAACTTTCTCATTCATGAAGCCCTTAGTGTTTCAGAAAAAAAAAATACCACAGGTCTTACTCTAACTGCTCAATTGCATAATTCTTTTATATGTGATGTGCTTTTTTTTTTTTTAAGCCTAATTACAATCATAGGGTACATCAGAGCTTCCCAAACTTTCTCATTCATGAAGCCCTTAGTGTTTCAGTAATTTTATCATGGTACCCCTAAACCAAAAGAAGTGCCAAACAATTCCATTTATTAAGTAGTTAAGTCCAAAGAATTTATTTAATAAGATTTATTTCCTAATAACTTAATAGCCATTTGGTACGGGGAAAAAAATACAGTTAACTTGAAGAAAAAAATCTTTTTACTTTATTTTTAAATAACCACAATTACTGATGGGATGTATGCGTCTGCTGGGCACTGCATGACTTCTTGAACCTTATAATCAGATTGAACACTGCCATTCTCATTTCCATATTGTTCTTCACATAAAACTTGCTTTTTATCATAGCATCCTTTCAAAGCCTGGTTGTGCAAATGTGACTTCAACAAAAGGAATGTAACACATTCTAATGTTGCGACTATGATCTAATTAGGGCTAGTAGTCCAACAGATGTTGAGTATTGCTGTGTTTCCCTGAAAAAATTTAACATATCTCACCATACCCTTTGAATTCACTGGGATGCCTTCACACACAGTTTGGGAACCACAATATGCATAAAATTTTGAATTCTGCTTTCTTTGCTTGATATAACTATCTTCCCCTATTTCTACATAGTTATAATAATAACTAATTTTAATAGCTGCATAATATTCACCGGAGTCAGTGAATCATAATGCTTTTTCTTAACGATTCTTCTGTTGGTGAATGTTTTAGGTTATATGCAATCTGAATTTTTTTCCTATTAATAAAAATCAGTGAATATTTGATTATTTATTTCTTTCCCTCCTTTTATTTATTTTGTTCAGAATTTGTTTTTGAACTATTCCCTTGGGGTAATTGCCAAGAATGATATTACTAATCAAAGGAAATTAATGTTTTTATAGTATGTAGTACAGTTTTCCCTGTTGCTTTCTAAAGAAAACTTAGTTCGATGTATAATGCCACCAATACTATGGGAATGTTTCACCACAATGTTGCCAGCTTTAGGTGCAAGTTTAGTTGGTGAATATGGAATCTCACACTCGTTTGATTTGTATTTTTATCACTAAACTGCATTTACTGATTCCTTTGTTGAAGATCTACCATATGCCACTGTATTAGTTTCCTATGGCTGCTGTAACAAATTACCACAAACTTGGTGGCTTAAAACAACAAAAGTTCATTTTCTCTCATTTCTGGAGGCCAGAAGTTTAAAATCAAGGTGTTAGTAGGGCCACGTTCCTTTCAGAAGCTCTAGAAGAGAATTCTTTCTTTGACTCATCTGGCTTGTGTTAGCTGTTGGCATTCTTTGGCTTGTGGCCACATCTCTTTCTGTTCCATCTTCACGTTAACTTCTCCTGTGTCCCAAAACACCCTCTTCCTCTGTATTATGAGGATATAAGTAATTGTATTTATGCCCCATCTGCATAATCCAGGATAAGCCCCTTCTCTCAAGGTCTTTAACTTAATTATATCTTTTTGCCTTATAAGATAGTATTCACATGAATGTGAACAAGTCTTTTGTGAGGTAACTATTAGCCTATTATAGCCACTTACAAAGATTTGATGTACAAATCTTTCAGGAGGAGAGATAGCTGAACAAAATAATTATAGTGAAGTATTACAGGTTCTTTGTCAGATCTCTGTGCAGGGTCGTGAGACAGCACAAATGGGCAAGTGGGTGGTGAGTTTTATAAGAGGGAAAGTAAATGGGGGCTTTGGAAAAGCCTCTACAGAAGTAGTGGTATTTGAATGGGTCATTGAAATATGTTTATGATGTAAAGGATTTGAGGCTGAAGGATCAGGAATGTTCGGGGATTTGCAAGTATGGTTTGAGCTGGATAGGAGGCTTGGTGGAAATTGAGGTGAGAAATGATGCTCCATGGGAAATATAAAAAGGATAGTTAGGCCAATGAATCGGCTAAATATCTGATCCATTTCTTCATATGTTCTTGTCTAAAGTAAGGTTCTTTAGGACCTTTTGAGCATTTCAAGCATGGTGGTGATGAGCTGTGATTAGCCAGAGGACACCAATGTGAAATATACCATGTTACAAGATGCATTAGTTAGGAATGCATTCCTCCGTAAGTAAGGGAACACCTAAATAAACGAGGTTTAAAGAAAAGTAAAAGTTTTACCTAGAAACCCTCCAGCAGACTTACATTTACTTTTCATAGACTAGAATGGAGTTGGAGCTAAATGGCTACTTCTCTCATGAAAACAGATGTTAGTTTAGCCACACAACTATTTCTACCATACGGGGTGATATTCACCAAAGACTTTTGCTTCTGAAACTGCATGAGTTTCTGAGAGTACATTAGACCATAAACAAAATTAGCTTTAAAAACGTCAAGAACTAAACTTTTTTGGAATATTAGATTTTTAAAATTTGCCTTTTGCATGCGAATATAAAGTTCTAAATTGTAAAATTGAAGATTTTAAATCATTTTATTGTCACCATGAAAAATTTCAAAGGCATGTAATTTTTGAGCTGGAAGGGACCTGGAGTATCCAGTCTCCTTTCATGTTATTAACATTTGTAAAGTACATGAAATGTTTTTAAGAAATGAATTTTCATATTATTTTTAGGGAAGAGATGTAGATGTTTGATTTTAAATCATTTTATTGTCACCATGAAAAATTTCAAAGGCATGTAATTTTTGAGCTGGAAGGGACCTGGAGTATCCAGTCTCCTTTCATGTTATTAACATTTGTAAAGTACATGAAATGTTTTTAAGAAATGAATTTTCATATTATTTTTAGGGAAGAGATGTAGATGTTTCCCACAGCAGTGAATCTCAAACTGTGAGGAAGTTTGATACTTCTATTTCATTTCCACCAGTAAATTTAGAAATTATAAAGAAGCAATTAAATACTAGGTGAGTAATAATCATTTTGAAATTTACATTTGTCCTAGATATTTAATAGTGAAAAAATAGCACTATATTCTTTTTAATTATTAGCTATTAATATTAAACTGATTTATAGGAAAAAATAGGATCTCCTGTTACCACACTAACACAACTAATTTCATTTTTGTGTATGTCTTGTAAGTTTATGTATTGTCTATGACTGGTTATGAGCTACAATACAGAGTTGAGTAGTTGCCATAGCAGCCATCTATCCCTTCATGCCTAAAATATTTAGTACCCAGCATTTTATAGGAAAAAAAGTTTGCTGATTCCTGTTCTACATTAGTGTTTTTCAGTAGTGATGTTGAGTGATGAGATTAATTTAACATTCAAGATTATTTCGTAATAACTTCATTATGATTTATTGGCATTCTGGTATGCTTATCTTAGAAGAAGACAGCTAGAATTATAGCTCTTGCATCTAGAATTGCATGTAACTCAGAACGTATATGGTTGTAATCATGAGATTGTGTTTGAGAGAATTGTTTTGCGTGAGTGATACAGTAAAAAAAAGGCAGTGGATCACTGATTTAGATTAGCATTTCATCTGGATAAATGTTACTTTTAACTTTATTATAGTTTATTTTTTATTAACTAGGTTGTTTATTTTAAAAAGAAAATACACTCTCATGATTTAAAAAAAAAAATTAACCAGTACAAAATGATATACAAGAGATAAGAAAGTTACCTTCCCCAGAGGAAACCATTGCAACCAGTTTCTTGTTTCCTTCCAAAATTGGTCTATATATGTATCTATACCAGCACATATATGTTAATATATTGCCCCATATTTATACAAAAAAAGATTCACATTTTATCCCATGTTCTGTACCTAGCTTTTTTCTGGTAATATGTACTTAAAAGTTTATTGCTATGGCCAATAGTATTCTACTTATTTACAATGTTTCATTAGTGATGCCTGCTGTACATTATCATCTTGATTTATTTCTTAACTCTCACTGTTCTCTCTATAAAGCAAAGAAAGACTTTGAAAGACAAATGCAGGAAAACTTGAAGAGAGGATATTTGGCCTAACAAGTGCTAAAGAGTTTCTGTTATGTAGCAGTTTAGCAGGAGGAGTTAAATTAAAAATTTAAGTCTGCTTCAAGTTCACATTATAAAACTGTGAACTTGTTATTTCACTTGTAGTTAATTCTTTAATTCTGAGGCATTCACAGAGTCAAATATTAGTGGAAGACACATTCCAGATGTTTTTTAAAAATTGTGTTTCTTATTCCTCCTTTGGCATGTATATGAAGAGTAATTGAATTTTAAAAGATAAGTAGTCACAAAAAAAAAAAAAGAAAAGAAAAAGGCTGGCTAGTTAGCTCAGTTGGTTAGAGCACAGCCTTATAATACCAGAGTCACAGATTCAGATCTCTGTACTGGCCAGCCACCAAAAAAACAAAAAAGATAAGCACTCATTGAATTATACTTAGAAAAGAAAAAGGCTGGCTAGTTAGCTCAGTTGGTTAGAGCACAGCCTTATAATACCAGAGTCACAGATTCGGATCTCTGTACTGGCCAGCCACCAAAAAAACAAAAAAGATAAGCACTCATTGAATTATACTTTAAATTTTTCATAAACATGAGCTGATACATGTGATATTCACAAGAGCTGAAAGAAAGCAGGTTGTCTTAACTATAATAGAACAATGTATAGGGAAATGCAACAAAGCAGCAATAAAGGAAATACATGTACCTCAAGAACGTTATGTTCCAATGACAAATAAAATAGATACCATTTTATTTGGTATGAATCACGAAACAGATAAATTTACCAAACCATAACATGCTCAAATGGTTTTAGTACCAGCTCATTCAGATATCTGTGTTCCAAGAAAGACCACAAATTGATCTAACAGTAACTCCACATGGACTCCTGTATTTCAAATATAAGACCATTGATTGTTCTTGCAACTCATCTAATTTATAAATTCTGATCAATCCTGGCCTAAAACCATACTCATTAACTTCTGCTGTAACCTGTGATTAGCTTCAGGCCCTAAAATCTCTAAATGCCCTTTTCTACCTTCCCCTTTGAGACTCTTCTGTTGTGATGCACTCCTATGGTTAGCAAGTATGATAAACCCAGGTGTGTATGATCATCCATTTCCTTGGTGGTCTTTGAAAACGTTTACATTAGTTTCCTACCTTTAGAAAAAAGTCTGAAAAATAAACCAATTTTTCTTTTTTTAAATTTAGATTAACATTAATACAGGATACTCACCGCTCACACTTGAGAGAATATGAAAAATATATGCAAGATGTCAAGAGCTCAAAGAGTACGATCCAGAACCTAGAGAGTTCTTCAAATCAAGCTCTAAATTATAAATTCTATAAAAGCATGAAAGCGTATGTGGAAAATTTAATTGACTGTCTTAATGAAAAGGTACTTATAAATATTTATTTATATCATTTCTTTTTTTGGAGGAACTCTCTTACCATACAGTTAAAAAAAGAAAAGTCTAAATATCACAATTAAATACTTTTCTCTAGTATTTTTCCTGTACATTTTTAACATATTATGATATTAAGCATTTCCTTAATTTTGGACATTTAGGTTTTTTGCAGTTATTTTGCTGTTATAAGCAACACTGTATAAAATTTGTATATAAATTTTTGTGTTACAATTTCATCTGTTTAAAAAAATTTCTAGAGGGGCCCACCCATGACTCACTTGGGAGGGTGCGGTGCTGATAATGCCAAGGCCACGGGTTCGGATCGCTATATAGGGATGGCCAGTTGGCTCACTTCAGAGAGTGTGATGCTGACAACACCATGTCAGAGGTTAAGATCCTCTTACCGGTCATCTTTTAAAAAGATAAAAATAAAAATAAAAGTAAAATTTCTAGAAAATGAAGTAATTCAAAGAAAATAAATTATTAAGTCTAAATATTTTTAAGGCGTATGAAACGTATTGCCAAAATGTCCTCTAGAAAGATTGTGCTAGTTTTATTGGTTAACTAGATTAAGAAAAAAATGGATTTTGCTTTTATATGTTGTATTTTGATCTCAAACAAACTGTTTGTTTTATTAGCTATATGTAGTTTTTCTTTTTGTGAATCGTTTGTCTCCTTTGCACTGTTATCTTTTTGGTTCTTAGTGGGGATTTTTTCTTTTTCTTTTTTTAGTCTTTTTCGTGAGGATAAATAATTCTTTATGCTTTATCTTGTCTGATGTAAACTTTCCAGTCTGTTTTTCCAGTTTTGTCTTTTGATTTTGTTTGGATGGTTTTTTGACATTCAGCTGTTTTAAAATGTTTGTGTTAACAGATTTATGAATCTTTCACTTTATATTTTCTGTTTTTGTTTTATGCATACTAACTTCTCACATGGGAGTCTTCAATTATCCTTTTAAAATAGATAACCATCTAAAAATAATATTCTACGTTCCATATTATTTTTTATTTATGCCAAACAATTGGATGCTTTGTTCCTTGTTGTTTTAAGTTGGCTACCTTCTAATATCACTTGATATTAGTTACCTTCTGAAGTATTTATTACAGTGTAATTTGTTTTTCATCATTCATCCCTGAAGAATTACCTTGTCAAAATCTTGTCAGCCTATATATTCATATATCCATAGCAGCATCTGTGGAGCATCACTGGAGTGGGAGAAATTATTGCCCAAGAAATATAATAGTTCCAATTTCAAGTAGTCTCTCATTTCCACATCACAGCTTTCTTACCTGTCTCTGGTTAGGTTTCTTCTTTCCAGTTTTCTGTATTTGACCAGCTTCTTCAAGTGCCCTGCTACCTTCTGCCCCCTCAGCCTGTGGAAAATAGCTGTACCCCTCATTTTCTCTTAGTCTTCTATTCCAAACATCGAAGAGCCCTTTGTCTCATCTGTCACTCTTATCCATGTTCTGACTCTGTCCCATTTGGTTTCATTATATTTATAGCTGTTCCAACACAGCAAGTTGATTTTTGACTTTTTAATGTTAAAAGTATTGGCAACTAAGTCTGTTGCTCTATTCCAAACATCGAAGAGCCCTTTGTCTCATCTGTCACTCTTATCCATGTTCTGACTCTGTCCCATTTGGTTTCATTATATTTATAGCTGTTCTAACACAGCAAGTTGATTTTTGACTTTTTAATGTTAAAAGTATTGGCAACTAAGTCTGTTGCTTACAATATTTTATAACTGAAATGTAATAGTATTGGAAATGAGGTGTTTTTTTTTCTTTTTCTTTAGCATTTACAATTCTTTATTAGTCAGGATTGCTCCTTGGAACCATAACCTAGTTGAAGGCAAGAATTGAGCATATACATGTGTTTATATACCTTATACATATTACTTTTTTTATACTTTTTATAATTCATTATCAATGACCTACAAAATGTTACTTATGTGTGTATTTCAGATGATCAGCATCCAAGAAATAGAATCTTCTATGCATGCACTCCTTTTAAAACAAGCCATGACCTTTTTGAAACGCAGGCAAGATGAATTAAAACATGAATCAGCCTATTTACAGCAGTTATCATGTTAGTGTTTTCATGTTCAATACAATTTATTAATGAATATTAAGCTAAATTATCATTTAAAGAATAAAAATATTTTTATTCATGCGTAACACATGTTTTTTGTGTATTTTCCCAGTAAGCATTCACCCACCCCTTTCCAAAAACTCAAAACGTTTAGAGGTAGGGTTTCAGTGTGTCTTAAATCTAAGACTAAAAAATAATTATTAGAACTTCTAATCATTTACTATTAGAGACAAAATATGTCTCATGGTCATTTAATGAATGTTTTGAGATGAGTTTACATAAATTTTAGACTCTGTCAGAGATCTAACTTTATAGTTTTCAGGGCACTTCCACAGATTTTTGGGGGTGAGTTTTAGTATAGATTCATCTTTAAGATCTCATAAGATTGGTTATTTTCCTTTTAGTTCTCCACTGTTATGTATTTCCAGGGATTTCTTCCTTTTATTAAGGTGCTGTTGGGGTAATAAAAGAGATGTGAACATGACTAAGTAGCTGATAAAGGCAGAGGCAAAGTGCCTTTCAAACACACAGTATTTTAATCAGACATAAGTAACAGTACATATGAGACTAATAAGAATGAGATATTGGTCATAAAAATATTTCTAGCATTTGGCTACAGAGAAAAGTGGTGAAAACTGCTGAAAAAGAATATGAGGGGAAGAAACTTTGTAGTAGAGTTTTGTTGTTATTCTCAAGTACTGAACTACGTTTACCAGCCAAGTTACATTTTTTAGGCAAGCAAACTTTATGACTTTTAATATTGTGATAGGCAATTAACATTGAAATTTCACTACATAATGAATTATGCAATTTAAGCATATTCTATGTGCATTTATATATACATATATGTATATA